TCCTATCTCACTCAGAATAAAAGCCAAAGTCTTTACAAGGCCCTATGTGATCTGGCCCTCTCTGTCTCTCTGACCTCATGTCCTACTACTCTCATCCTCTCCACTCCAGTGATACTGGCCTTCTTGCTATTCCTCGAATACATCAAGCCTTTTCACATTCTATTTCCTCTGTCTAGAACACTCTTCCCTCAGGCATTCACAAGGCTGGCTCTCTCAGTTCATTCAGATATATTCTTAAATATCACCATATCAGAGAAGCTTTCCTTGACTGCTCTATATCAAATAGCTCTCCCCAATCACAAGTACCTTATATCCTTTCTCCTACCTTATCCCCACCCAAAAAATACCTTATTATTTATTGTCTTTCCCCTCTACCAACACACCTTCATTAGAATATAATCTCCAAGAGGGCAGGGACTTTGTTTTGTTTATTGCTATATATCCCTAGAGTCTTGTGCAGTGATGGCGCAGAGTGGATTCTCATTATTTGTTGAATTAATGAATATCATAACACAATGTACTTTTGTGTTGATACTATTGTCTATCATAGCTCCCTACCCTTGAAGGCTGAGCAACAACTAGGAAGGAGCTCAGACCATAGGACATGTAAGGGCAAGCTGTTTAATCTAGGCAAGAAGAGCCTAGCTCACCAGATCCAGGCATTCCAAAAGGGAAACAAGGGGTCAAAACTACTGCTAGTAAAACACAGAGAGAGACGGCAATGTTCTTTCTGCAATTATTCCTCATGAAACCCTTTTGCCTCTGCATAGACAAAATTCTCTATAATCCCAGGAAGCAGAATACATGACACCAAACAATTTAAATTACTCCAGGGAAGCCACTTTAAGCCCTTGGAGAAGGATTTCTATTGCTTGCCTATAGTACTTGTTAGTGGGTTCACAAACCTTTCATTGTCCTAAAAAAGGAATAACCATATTTCAGCAATGGTATTTTATGACAGCTAAGAACTGCCTAGTTCCCATATCCTGCAACTAGAAACTTTCGCAAAGAAAAACAAACCAACATGAACACAAAGGGACAATCAAATGTTAAAATGGAAACACAGCAGTCTCTCACATGTTCCATGCATACCAAATACAGGAGGCCGGCCATGGAAGCAGCACATAGGAAGGAGGAAGTCAAGATGGTGGCATAGGCAGACTCTGAACTCACCTACTCCCACGGACACAGCCAATTTACAACTACTCTTGGAAAAATTACCCCTGAGAGAGAACTGAAAACTGGATATGAGGACCTCCTGCACAAACGACAATCCTAATTAAGGTGGAAGAGACAGAAATTCCCTTCTGGAGAAAAAAAAACGCCACTTTCACAAGCTGCAGTGCTTCACGGCTGCCCGGGAGCAGCCCAAAGGTACACAGCCCTCCCTGGAGGAGTGGGGCCTGAGCCTGGGAGCGCCCCCACTGTAGGCATTCTTTGGACCCAGCACAATCGAGATGAGTGGCATAATATCTGGCTTTGCTGGCTACTAAAACATTGGGGAGTACCCAGAGAAAATCTGGTCCACAAAGAAACTAAAACCGGCTCTTAAAGGGCCCACACACAAACTCACCCATTTCAGAAAGCAACCTAAAATCACCAGAAAGAAAGGTACACAGCCCTTTGGGGAAAAGAGACTCACCTGATAGGCTCTGAGGGCATCTCGGTGAGAGGTGAGACTTCTCCAGGGACTGGGACATTAGTGGCAGCCATTGTTGTGACCTGGCGTGGGCGTGCTAACACAGAGGCCATTGGAGTTCTCCCTGGGGCCAGCTAGCCCAGGGTCTGCCCCACCCACTAGAACACTGATTTAAACCAGCTCAGCCAGGGCAAGCAGCCCACTTTAGGTACTGGCCCCACCCAACAACAAGCCCTCAGGCAACTTGTGGGCCTGCTAAGGGAGCTGCCTGGATTCGCCACAGCCTGGTGACTGGGTCCACCTCTGTAGGGCAGGGTGTGTGCAAGGAGCAGGTGGAGAGTGTGGGGCTCTCGCCGTGGAGAGACTGGGTCCACTTCAGGAGGTCGGGGCTCGCACACGGGGCAGGACTGTGTTGACTGTGTGTGTGGACCTGTAGGTGGTGGGGCTTGTCAGCTGCAGAAGACTTGTGCTTCTCAAAGAGCCACATAGGAGGTCGGCCCCACCTTCCAAAGCCTGAAACAATTGAGTGCTCCCCTGCCTGAGGCCAGCCCCCCCCAGCTGCAATCCTCAGAGAGCTGACAAGAGACCTAAGGGCTAGAGGCTTATAGGAATTGTAAGCCCCTGAGCCTAACAACCTGCCACGCTGGGGGCCTGCTCATTTAATAGAAATATGGCAACAGGATTGTGCTATTAGACCTTGCAGCCAACTGTGCTGGGACACCCCACATCCGATTAAGAGACCGAAGGGTCCACAACAACTACACGCAGCTGAACATTACAACAGCTGGCCAGCGGCATAGCTCAACCTCCCTGGGCACTTACAGGAAGAACAACCCTGCCACAACAGACGGACACACATAGCCCACACAGGGGTCACTCCTGAAACATTTGCAACTGGAGAGGAGAGGGAAGCACACTGCCAGGCCTCCTAAGGCATAGTTTATATAAGGTCACCTCTCCGAGAGCAGGAGACATAGCTGACCTACCTAATACATAGACACAAGCACAGGGCAAGAGGCAAAATGAGGAGGCAAAGGAATATGTTCCAAGTCAGGGAACAGGACAAAACCCCAGAAAAGGAACTAAGCAAAACAGAAATGAGCAACCTACCTGACAGAGAATTCAAACAAAGAGTGTTAAGGATGCTCACCGATCTTGAGAGAAGAATGGATGAACTCAGTAAGAATGTCAACAAAGAAATGGAAGATATAATAAAGAACTTATCAGAAATGAAGAATACAATACTGGAAATGAAAAATTCACTAGAGGGACTCAAAAGCAGAGTAGAGGATACAGAAGAATGGATCTGCAAGCTGGATGAAAGACTAGAAGAAATCACCCAAGCTGAGCAAATAAAAAAGTATTAAAAAGAGTGAGGACAGTCTAAGGGACCTCTGGGACAACATCATGTGCACTAGCATCCGTGTTATAGGTGTCCCAGAAGGAGAAGAGCAAGACAAAGGGACAGAGAATCTATTTGAAGAAATAATAACAGCACATAGTTCCTTCCCCACCTTCCATGTAAGGGGGTGGATAGCAGAGTTCAGTGGATATGACATGTACAAGTAGCTGTTGGCTCTGGGACAAGACTGTACTCCTACTGATGAAAGTAACCAGAAGAGTTCCAGTTGAATTCATGTTTCCTTTGTTTTTAGGAGCCCATAGGCCAGAGAAAGAATCCTAAGTGAGGCTTTATTCTTTAACTGAATCCAGTGGACTGAATGATATGGCCATTCAAAATAAGGTCATTTTGAGGTTTGGAAAACCAATTGAGGAGAGAGGGGATGGAGAAAGATGCTTTAGTTAAATGTTGCCTCAGAACCTAAAACTGACTCATGCTCTTGATGGGAGTTGGCACTGAGGATGCAATGAAACCCAGCACATTAAAGAGGGGAGGGGCTCTGTGCCTTGAATTTAATACCAGAGACAGCTGAACTGGTAAACTGCAGAGCGCTGGGAGCTGTGGCATTACACTGACCAAGAGTAACTTTCAAAGTGAAATACTAGCCCTAAAACCTGAAACAACATGTTTCCATCTCTTTGACTTGTGAGATATCATTAGGCTCCACCTAGTCTTTCCACCCTCCCTAGGCAGAAACATGAGAGAGACAAACATGGAAGAGATGTCACTGGTCTGTATGAGGCCTTCTAACAAGTCTCCACCACACCAGTTTTTTTTTGTAGTTGTGTTTTTGTTTTTTTCTTTTTTACCAGAGAAGAGAGCTGGTGAAGCCCTCTTCCCCAACACAATCTTCCTAACTGGACATGGGCATGGGAATGACAGACCAGCCAAGGTGGCCTTACCTTTCCCTTTGAAGCATCCTGCCCCTCTCTCTTTGTATGCTATTTTGACTCGAGTTCCTATCTCTTCGAGCTGAAGCTCTCAGTCACTTGGGCTTAGGCATATGGATGCCTGGTACTAAAAAAAAGACAATAAACGGGAACCATTGTACCTCTAATATGACAGATGCTTGGTAAATGTCAGAATCAAATTCAACATTCATCTCCATATTCTAGGAAGAAACCTTGCCCACCAGTCTCTTAAGAAAGGAGTCAGTGACGCCTCTCGACATGGTCTTGACATATTACAGACACCACTCAGCAGTAGGACCAGCTACAGGCAATGAATCTGGGATTCAATAAATATTTGTAGAATGAATGTTTTCAAGTCATCTGCACTGCCATGGCACCTCTCAGGAAACAAATTTTCCCCTTCAGCTAAAACTGCAGAGCCAATTAACTCTGCAGTTAACCACTGTGCAATTTGGCAACATTGCCCAGGGTACACCTTCTGAGAATCAACTGGATGTTAGCATCAAGTATAGAGGCTGGTATGAGGGAGAAAAAAACTGTCCTCTCCACACAAATTTCCCCAACACACGTAGTCTCTTAGTAAGCCGAGTCACTGCCATCCTTCTCGAAATTGAATTTCCAGTACAGATTTCCCTCAGTTGAACTAGTGCACCGCCCCTTTAAGAAGCCAAGCAAGATGGAGCCCTCCTAGCTCACAGTTAGAGGCTTTAAGCAACCTGATAGGAATGCTGGAGTGTGACAAAAAGAAAGGACGCCTACAGGGGGTAAGTCTTGGTTCTAAAGACAGGAGGGGAAATCAAGGCTCTAACCACACAACATCAAGTTCTAAGCACGCCTAATCCCCGGGTGGTAGCTCCTTTAGGCTCTAAAGCACCAACCCTCCTCCCCTCCCCTCCCCTCATTATCCCACCCCACCCTAATCCACCCTCCATGATCCTCCTTGAAAGTCTCCTTCTGTAAGGTGGTTCCTTTGCTGCCCAGCAGGGACCCAAGGGAGGGTGGCAAAAGGAAGGGGAGGGGGTGGGTAGGAGAAATGAAAGGGACTTACTTTCGTATTCTGCGCCTCCGAAGGCATCCTCTCCTCTCAGCCCTGGACCAGGGCCAACGGGGCGGGGACGGGGCCGGGGCCGGGGTTGAGCTGGTGGACCAGGGGTCCTCACTTCCTCCTACTACAAACCTAGTTAAATGGAGAGTTAGGGACAGTGGGCACCGACTAGGGCCAGTGTCTACTCGATTTTAATTACCTCAAAAGGAGACATAAAGGTTTTAGAAAGTTGACTGGGAGTGGGAGTGGAGGTGAGCTCTAAAACCCTCCTTTCCCTCCCTTTCTGGCTAGCTTCCCCCACCTGGCATTAGCGATATTCGGGGCAATGGTTTTCTTTTTTCTTCCTTGTGGTTTCTCCCAGCTGCCTGTCCCAGACCCCACCCTGCGGCTCCACCCCATCCACTGCTAAACATTCTGTCCATTACCAGCCCCTTTAAAGCTGCACCGCATAACTTGGGGTTTTGTCCTTCTTTGGCGGGCAGACAGAATGACGGGGCTCCTGGCCTTTCCAACAATGCCTCCAACTTTTCTGCTGAGTTTGGGAAGCTGAGGTTAGTTGGTAGTGGCAGCCTCCCCTCCCCCTCTACCCTGAAGCTTGCACAGTAAGCTCCACCCAAACTCCTTCTGGGCAGGCCGGGGAATGCCATACCCCACCCTGTCTCTTTTCTTTACTCTGTTTCTGGTAAAAAGTGGTTCCCTAGGCTGCCAGATAGTCAAGAGAGTTCCTGCAGCGCCCTCCTTGGCGCCACCCACTCCCGTACAGTTTCTGGACTGAAGTGGCTACAGCCAATCTCCTATCCCTGGGGCCTCTCCCCTCTGCCTGATGCCGTATGCTCAGTCTTCTCTATTTCTCATCTGTGTAAGTCTTCAGGTTTCTGACTAGAACGGGGGGCAGAGAGGGTGGGGATTCCCAGAAATGTGCTTCATGCCTCTAACTCATCCAAAACAGCAGTCTTACACCACTGCCCCACTTCATAACTAGGCAGCTGAAAGTCAGAGAAGGGCCCTTAGGTCCCATCCACAAGTACTAGTAAAACTCCAGAATGACCCATCAGAAACTATATTTAATGCCATTCTCCATTCCAGTTAATGGCAACATCTGCTTGCTCAGGCCGAAACTCCTTGACTCCTCTTTTTGTCTCATACTTCATGTCCAATTCATCAAGAAACCTATTGGTGTTGTCTTAAAAATATGTCCAGAATCTGACCACTTCTCACCATCTCCACTAATACCACCCTGGCCCCAGCCACCACCATCTCTAGATCCAGCCTTTGCCTACATCTTTGACTTGATTTATAAAAACATTGTTCACTCTCCTCTAGCCATGATCTCCTTTTTATTCCAATATGCAAATATCTGTCTGACCTCAGGGACTTTGCACTTCCTTTTCTTTCTGTCTGGTTCTACCCCTGGTGGGCTCCAATACCCTTCAGATCTTAGGGAAACTTTCCCTGACCATCCAGATTAAAGTAACTCCCTGTGGCCCAGGCACTCTCTGTGACTTTATCCCATTTTATTTTTATCAAGATACTGATCACAATCTGAAACAATCTTAAATGTATGTTTGCTTCCATGGTGAAGTGTCTCTCCCACTAGAGTATAAGCTCAGTAAGATCAGGGACTTCATCTATTTTCTTCTCTGCTCTATCCTCAGCATACTGAACAGTGGCCGCCATATATAGTAGGGGCTCAATTAATGTTTGTTGAAAGAACAATTGAAGGTGATATCTTCTAGGATCTATCTGAGTGTTATCTGTTTTTAAACAACAAACAAATCAAAAAAGAAGGCAGCAGGGCCGGCCCTGTGGCTTGGTGGTTAAGTGCGCGCGCTGCGATGCTGGCAGCCCGGGTTCGGATCCCGGGTGCGCATTGAGGCACCACTTCTCTGTCCATCCTGGGGCCGAGTCCCACATACAGCAACTAGAAGGGTGTGCAGCTATGACATACAACTATCTACTGGGGCTTTGGGGGCAAAAAATAAAATAAATAAAAAAAGAAGGCAGCAAAGAGAGACGCATCTGTTATGAACCATTTGCCCCATCTATTCTCCCTTAGAACATCCATCTAGATACCTTGCCTCTGGGCTGAGTTGGCAATGGTAGTTGGAACAGTGACCTAGTAGCTTTTGGGTTGCCTTTTAGGGTTTGCAGTTGATTGCTGGTGGTTGACTTAAGTTCTTGGTTTTGTCAAGTCAGTGCTAGGGAGGATAGTTCTTGAGGGCCTGGCTCATCTGAATTAATAGAATCTTTGTCTCTAGATGTCTTTCTTACTTTGGAGTCAGATTATCTACATACGCTCTCTCATGACCTTAAGGATGTATTAACTCATTTGATTCCCACAACCTCCCTATGAAGTAGATATCATTATTATTATTATTATTCTCATTTTACAGGTGAGAAAACAAAAGCCCAGGGAGATAGAATGACTTGCTAAAAAACACACCCCTAGGAAATGGTATTTGAACCCCGGTAGTGTGGCTCCAGATATACATACTTTCCCACTACACTATGTTTCCTCAATTAACCTTATAGTCAGTCATGGTATTGGGAAGAGCAGACATCCCAGTTTGCTGGCTGTTAACTGGTTAAAGATGAAGGGAAGCAGCTGAAATTAGGGGCGTTTGTTACATAAAACAAGAAGGATTATTTGAGCAATTCTGTAAGCTATGACCTTGAAACAAGGTCATATGAGGCAGCCACTTCCCTTTTCCAGTGGAAGGACCTATGGATGTTTAGCCTTAAGAAGAGAAAACTCAGGAGGACAAGAATCCTGTCTTTTAGGCCTGTCTTAAGCTATCATTGACATGTCCTTGATTGCTTATCCATGGTGTGTCCGAACCTTAGCTATCTGCCTACTCATAGAAGCTACTCAGCTAAGCCCAATTCTCTGGACTTCGGGCCACGGATGACGGATACCTCTTGCTAGGTCGCTGCCTATACCTGAGCATGATACCATGGAGAAGTTTAAAAGATACCATGTTTATGTTCTGAGCACAGTGCTATACACTGTGGAGCATAGACAGAGAAAGGGTCCACAGTATTAAAGGTCAGAAGTTTCCTTTAGACCCAATACTACCACTTATTTGCTATGTGACTACAGGTAAGACTGCATGCAAAGTCCCCATATTTCTCATCATACAAGGAGAAGGTTGAATTAATGGTTGCCAAGGGCTCCTTCTATCTCAGAAATTCTCTGTCAGTTTCCTTTGGTCAGTTCACTGATGTCAGAAAGTTCTTATGACAGGAAAATGCTTGGAATATTAATTTTCTGGGGAAAGTAAACACATTCCTTTAATCTCATTCCTCTTGATATTAGATTTTAGTACATACCACATAGGATGGAGTGGATGTCCAATTAATAAGGATTTACCTTCTTTGGAAATGGTTTGAAACTGTAGATTACACGGCTACGTCTGGTGTCTTTGCTATGTGAACCTTCCCTATTGGCCATAATAGCTTATTCCAGGGGGAGATCCCTGGCCCAGAGGGGAAAGTTACTTTAAAGCTGGAGAGAAAATCCATAAATTCATTCTTCTCTTGTACCAGCTGACCTGGTTCCTGTCCTTTCTTATTTATTTATTTATTTATTTATTATTACAGTAACATTGGTTTAAAACATTATATCAGCTTCAATTATACATCATTATATTTCAACTTCTGTATAGATTGCACTGTGTTCACCACCTAAAGTCTAGTTGCCATCCCACCATATGCATGTGCTCTTTTACCCCTTTTGCCCTCTCCCCACCCCGTTGCTCTCTGGTAACCACCAATATATTCCCTGTATCTATGTGTTTGCCTGTTGTTCTTGTTTTCTCTTCTACATGTGAGTGAAATCATACGGTATTTGGCTTCTTCCATCTGACTTATTTCACTTAGGATAATACCCTCAAGGTCTATCCATGTTGAAGCAAATGGCAAGATTTCGTCTTTCTATGGCTGAGTAGTATTCCATAATGTTTATGGATTCCACCTTGTTTATCCATTCATCTGTTGATGGGCACTTAGGTGGTTTCCAAGTCTTGGCTATTGTGAATAATGCTGCAATGAACATAGGAGTGCATATATCTTTTTGAATTACTGTTTTTGTGTTCTTTGGATAAATACCCAGAAGTGGAATAGCTGGATCATATGGTAGTTCTATTTTTAATTTTTTGAGGAATCTCCATACTGTTTTCTGTAGTGGCTGCACCAATTTACAATCCCACCAGCAGTGTAGGAGGGTTCCCTTTTCTCCACATCCTCCCCAATACTTGTTGTTTCTTGTCTTTGTTTTTTTGTTTATTTTTTTGATGAGGAAGATTTGCCCTGTTGCCAATCTTCTATTTTGTATGTGGATTGCCACCATAGCATGACCACTGACAAGTGGGGTAGGTCCATGCCTAGGAACTGAACTGAGGTCACCAAAGCAGAATGCGCCAAACTTAACCACTAGGCCACCGGCCCGGCTCTTGTCTTTTTAATAAAAGCCATTCTGATGGGTGTGAGGTGATATCTCATGTGGTTTTGATACGCATTTCTGTAATAATTAGTGATATTGAACAACTTTTCATGTGCCTGTTGGACATCTATATACCTTCTTTGGAAAAATGTTCAGATCCTCTGCCCATTTTTCAATTGGGTTGTTTGATTTCTTGTTGAGTTCTTTATATATTTTGGATATTAACCACTTATCAGATATATGATTTAAAAATATCTTCTCCCAATCAGAAGGTTGTCTTTTTGTTTCACTGATAGTTTCTTTTGCCATGCAGAAGCTTTTTAGTTTAATATAGTCCCATTTTTTCATTTTTTTCTTTTGTTTCCCTTGCCTGAGGAGACATAGTCCAAAAGATACTGCTAGGACCGATGACAAAGAGCATACTGCCTATATTTTCTTCTAGGACTTTTATGGTTGTAGGCCTTATATTCAAGTCTTTGATCAATTTGAGTTAATTTTTGTGTATGGTGTAAGATAGTGGTCTATTTTTATTCTTTTGCATATTACTGTCCAGTTTTCCCAGCACCATTTATTAAAGAGGCCTTCCTTTCTCCATTGTATATTCTTGGCTCCTTTGTCAAAAATTAGCTGTTCATAAGTGTATGGATTTGTTTCTGGACTCTCAGTTCTCTTCCATTGATCTGTGTGTCTGTTTTTGTGCCAGTACCATGCTGTTTTGATTACTATAGCTTTGTAGTATACTTTGAAATCAGGGAATGTGATGCCTCCAGCTTTGTTCCTTTTTCTTAGGAATGCTTTG